CGTAATATGGAAACCATGTTATAAGAAAATCAGAATTAATTGAAATGAGGAAATGCGTTTTATGTAAACCACCTTATGATAAACATAGTAATAAGACAAATCAGATTAACCCTTGCACTATGAGTCAGATGCACTCTGGCGTGACAAAACTATTTTTCATTAACCCTTTCGCTACTACGAGTGACTATAGTCATCGGCCACAAAAATTCAGCCAAAAATTAAGACAAGTGCTCCCGTTCCGCTTAACTCTCTTCGCAAAGAATGGCAAACGCCATTGCGATGGTGGGTTTTTGGGTTTTTTTTTTTTTTTTTTTTTTTTTTTTTTTTTTTTTAAAAAAGACGGTCCCGAATGCTAAAGACTGCGCGCGCGCAATATTTCCACATTTGACACGACACTTCGTTCTACGGGAGGGACTTCACGACGACGCCCACCATAGTGAAAGGGTTAAAAATCTTAACCCTTTGCACTCGGCGATATTTTCGTTACAGAAACACAGTAATTCGAAGACTTTCTGTCATAAGGTCGATGATATTTTCAAAACGGTAAATAATAAGTGCAAATTAACAGTAAGACGTAGAATTATTTTACCTCGATATTCCACGTATCGTTGGGCAATTTTAAATTCGAGATATTAATTAATAACGATCTGTAGGGACACATCCCAAATGCGGAGAACGAAAGTTCCTTGTAAATATTTTCGACTCCTTTGAGACATCGAGGGTTCCGGGTCAATGGGGGCCTGGTTTGTCTTTACGACCAGGGCTCCATGACTCGCGGACGCGCGGACCGCTTCGACGCCTAATGAGCGGCGAAAAGGAGTTCAGTTTGTTTATGCCTCTCCAACGATACGGGTCTTCCCAAAACTTGTCTTCGCGTTTTCCGCATCTGGCCCCCCCGCACATAATAAAGTCCTACTAAGGCAACGTAGTGTTATTTTCACTCGATCCCAATCGTCCTCCACCTTCAGATCTTTAGAATCTGATTAAATGGTGACTGAGAGTCGCCTCTCGAGTGCAAAGAGTTAAGTTGCCTCTGACGTGTTATTTCATACAGTTAATGAAACAGATTAGTGAAAAACAGTTTCATTTATAAAATGCTTTGAAATTATGTGTAGGTACATAAAAGTCTTATATTATACACTTCTCAGCATAACAATATTAGCGTTCCTTATAAAATGTTCAAACGCAATCGCATTGAATCGAAAAATTTTCGACAAGGCGTGGAATGTCGGGGAAGACCCTCGACATTAGATCACGAAAATCGATTAGATGGTAAATTACATTTACTAATGGCAGATCCTCAAGGCAAACATGACTGTCTAGGATGTTCAAATCGAAAAATAAAAGATGGAAGGTGAACAACAGTCTACTTTTGCGAAATTTGCGACAGAAAGCCATTTTTACACGTAGGAAAACATGTAGATTGTTTTAAAAAGTACCATACTTTAAAAAAATATAAATAACAATGAACTAAATATTCGTATTTTGATATTATACATTCTTTATGAGCAATCGTTTTGTTAATAAAGCATTAATCTTTAAATAACTGCGAGCAATTACTTCATACCAAACGTGTGATATCAAAATTAAATATTACATTAGTCCGAGAAGAAACTAGGAGAACAATTATAGTACAAAGGGTTAATTTATACCGCGTTACATGGAAACCTCTACCACGTTATATAGAAACTTATAAGATTCTCAAAAATAAATAAATTGTACATAAATCAGACCTATATAAAAACTGCATTCTCAAAGTATTAAGTTACGATTGATACGATTAATAAATAAAATTTTATAATAGAAATGGCAATGAATATGTAGATTTTTACATATTTGAATTTAGGTTTGTCGAATATAATACATTATTCATATAATAAAATTTTAAAGTAAAAAAATTGTTTGCAACAAAAAACCTAATTCGATACATATTAGTGACATATCCTAATTTAAAATAGGATTCTAACATGTTAAAATTGAACGATTTATTACTTTGTTTTATATAATCATCTTTTGGGTGTCTATCAAAACCCTTATTAAAATATATTCTATCATAAGTTCTCTTATCCATCATTGTTATTCCATATTTCTTCTTATTTATATTTATTTCCGAAACAAATGTTTTATTCTTAAACACTCTTATAAAACCACTTCAGTCTGATTAGAATTCAGACATTCTTATCATGTAGTTCAGACATTGAGAATACCACAATTAGATTGTTTTATTATTTATCATCTCTGTCAAATATTTGCAGTCTAACTCTTTTTTTTTCTGATTGTCCGAAAGTCCTTCTCATTTTGCAAATTTTTTTCTTGGTTTTCAAATGTACCTTTATTTGGTAGTTCTTCCAAAACCTCTTTATATGGAGTCAAGTAGTTTTGAAATTCTCTTTTAAATTTTGCACTGTGCATCGTTGAAGGATCACAAAAATTGAACACATCGAATAAGTGCTGCCATAGATAAATTTTTCAAGCTATTTGAGCTGCCGGAATGTTCTTGCACGAAAAACGCGTTATAAGGAGACCGTGTTATAGGAGAACTCCCCAATTTTCGCATCGCGTTATATGAAAATCGCGTTATAAGAACACCACGTTATAGGAGACTTGACTGTATCCCTATTCAACCTTACATTGTGTCTTCTTTCATATTCGGCTTTCTTCCTCAATCACGCATTTTTCACGCACCTCGATAGACCAGGTACTTTAAACACTCAGGACGCATTCGTAAACTTTCGCTCGTTTCTCACACTCGACTCATAAATTTCCCTTACAATCGAATCTCTTGCACGCAGTCACTTTCGTCCTATGTTCCAAACACTTAACATTCAGAGCCGTACTCGTTCCATTACTACATACATATTAATGATGTTTAGAGTACACCTGTACGCCACTCTGTATTCCGAAGATTAATAAACGGTTTGAGACTGTTAGATTAATCCCTTGCACTATAATGATGAGCCTAACTCATCAGTTTTTTATACTGAATCGCACAAAGATGAGTCACTTTTGTCATGCGAGTGAAATTATACTTAACAAGCCTTGACATGAATAAAATTCATATAAATTCTAAACATTTGTATAATTTTAATGTAAATGAAATAAATATGCTTTAACCCATTCGAGACCGATTGCACACCGTGTTTGCAATTGATTTCCGAGGCTATAAGACCGGTTGCACACCGTGTGTGCGATAATAATAATGAGCATTTATCAGTTATTCTGAGTAAAGTAGTCGTCGTGATAAGACTTTTTTTTGAATTAATAGTATCTGTAAAGTATAGGAAAACAAAAATTGGCATTGGTTTTGTTGCGTACCAAAAAAAAACAAAACATTTTGTTTGAATTATCAGTGTACTATTTCCTAAAAATGTATTAACAAATTATATTTTCTTTTTCATTAGCGAGTTACATTACTTTATTACCTTTAGACATTTTTTTAAAAATTCATTTCTCGTTTATATTATTTTCTTCATTATTCAACTTATTTTTTTGACTTTTTACTATTTCTTAAAAATTGTCTTTGCATTATATTCTGTTCTTCGTTATTGAAAGCAAAATAACGATTTTATATTATCTAACTATTTTTGAAATAAATGTTTATCAATTTTAATGATGTATTTTTATTTTACCTTACATTGCACACATGGTGTACAATCCGCTCCTCGCAATAAATATTTTCTAAGGAGCGAGCTGCACACACGGTGTGCAATCGTCTTATTTATGCGAATTCACTTACGAATTGGGCGATTTCCATAGTAAACAAGTATTTTTTATTAAAAATGAACAATATAAAGAAAAAAAAATTTCGCTCCTGGGGACCGTGTTCGAAAAAATCGTCGTCTCGAATGGGTTAACCAGCTAGAATTAAACTTTTCTGCAGTGTACGATTTTTTATTATTAATTCGTAGTATATAAGGAGTTAATCAGGTTGGGAAATTGTGAAACACTGGTTCTCGAAATACTATATTTGATACTATTGTAATATACGGTGTGGGTGTTTTGTCTGGACTTTCTTGGATATCTCAAGAGAAACTAAGATATTAAAGAAATGTTCTACGAGAATTGTTTGGTATAAAGGAAGACATCACATGGTGTAAAAATTTTTTTTTTTTTTTTTTTAGGAAAAATGCTATATTTTTCTATTCATAACTAATAATGAATTCTATTCATAATAAATGTAAAGGGAGACATCACATGGAGTAAAAAATTTTTTTAGGTGGGATGCTATATTTTTCTATTCATAACTAAATAGGGCTTGTTAAGGCGAAACTTCTTCAGTACGGTCACAGTACATTATAGGAAAGTATGGTGGTAGAAATAATAAAATTTGACCTTTACTTGTTTGATTAATAAGATCACACAGTTCCCGAGTCTCGTGGAGTCTCATAAAACCAATCAAAGGTAAATTTCATCCGTAAAAGGATGAATTTGATTTGCAAGGAAATGAGTATGTCCTACAAAAAGATGAATTTGAAATGAAAAGTATATAGTATAAAAGACAGTGGAGGCAGAAGTTCGCAGATTATTTGATTATTGCAAAAAAAGATCGTAAAAAAAAAACATTTAAATGCACTGATTTATGATATTCTTAATCTTGTAGGTACGGTATTTATAGTATAGTGATTTTTAGTTACTTTATAGTGTACCATTACACCGCCATTATAGTGACTTCCGTGAAAATTATTAATTTGAACGGTACGTCACCATAATGGCTTCTGTGGATATCATAATTTGAACGGTACGTCACCATAGTGGCTTCTGTGGATATCATAATTTTGGACAGTATTATACGTTTTTTTGCTTTATTTTTCATTTATTTCGCCCAAACCACATTTCTTGTCGTACTGAGACAGAATGGCGAACGAGCACGCCGTATCTAAAAGGTTAAAATGTTATATTTTTGTAATATAAGTGATGAATACAACAGGATGTAAATCTTTATCATAGTAGATTGAGTTTTCAAAGTATTGTGATATATATTGTTTCCGTTTCTTTTTCAGAGTATCTTTGGAGACGAACTTCGCGACTTACGTGTTGAGAAAAATAGACGAAAATGGCGACCGTTGGACATTTTGATTACTTTGATGCCTCAGAAAGGCATGTCAGGACCAGCTAAAGTATACGCACAGATTGATTTACATGTAACGTGTAGCGATAAATATCCCGACGAGTAAGTGCATTTTTGATCGTATTAATTCTTTTATTTAATGCTTTTTGTGATGATACAAGTAGATATCTTGAGATGATTTACTTTTGGGTATGCAAACACAGAATTATACTAAGGAGCAGATTTGTTTCCCTTCTGTTTTTTATTTTTTTTTTTTTTTAAGGTGTATAGCCTCCATCTTTTTTATCAGATTTTCCATTACTTTTTCTTAATTTCAATATATTCTATCTTCTTAATCCTAGAACGACACTTGCATTTATCAAGTATGACTAGCACTATGAGGATGCAGATCTAAAGTTAAATGCAAATTTTTTCAAATTTCATTGATGGTGTTCATAATGCTACTTTGTATATATTTCTCTTATTATAATTTGAATTTATATTATATTATAATATTATTAATATTATAATTTGAATTTATATATTTATTATATTGTTACTATAATTTGTAATGAAAAGAAAAACATAATCTATATTTTAGTTGTACGGAGTAAACAAAAATTTCTATATTTGGTAATAACCATTTTTTTAAATTTGATAACATTTTATTACATTTATTATTGTTGCGACCCTAGGACCGCACATCCCAAGTTAAATGGGGGACTGTTTTATGCCCTTTTGCCAGCGTTACTTGACTCGTGTACATTCGTTATCATCTGGTCACTACTTGGGTGAACCTTAGCAAGGGTCAATAAATCACCCTTAAGACGATAAGCATAAGGACCCAAATTATTTAAACATCCACCACCACCGAAAGACGTCGAAGCTAAAACACACCCCTAATATTATTCACAACCAATAGGAAGACACACACCCACTACTTACATTTCACATCAAACAAACAGTAGACATACAAAACTTATAAAACCATTGAGACAGCAGTCACGAGATAGTTCTCTTAAAAATCCCAAGAAGACAAAACAAGCATCACGACCAGATAGTCAAAACAGGCCTACAACGATCAACTCAGTGCGAGAGACAGTCACACATCAGAACTCTTTAGTTCACCCCTAACCAAGTCTAGCTCTGTTAATTTAGAGTAGGCTGCATCCCAGCAACATTATCGCTTTCGCGTAAATGGGCCTTACAACCCCGCGAAACTCCCACCGTGAGAATTGCAATATTTGAGACGCAACAATTATATTGGTATATATGAAATGTCTTTTTTTTAAAGATTTGAAATTAGCATGAAAATAGTGTAGTATCGCAGGATTTCCACCTCATGTATAGGTGACTTTAGTTTGGAAGGTCGCCGAGGGTTCGAGGGCCAGGTCGGTCGGAAAAACCCCGGCGATGCGTCAGGCCCTTAGCATGACCATATTTGGTCATGTTGGGAAAGATTTTTGGGGAAGATATAAAAGAAGGCAAAAGTCTTTAACGAACAATTCTTGTGTAGAGTTTTGGAGGAAGAACTTTTAGGATGAGTTCTTGGGAAGAGTGATCAGAGCAAAGTTGTTAGTTATTTAGTTGTATTTTAGTTGTAACGGGCTGAGTTGTAATTGTGTTGTCGAATCGTGTTGTAACTTAAGTTGTAGTTGTAATTGTAGTTGATATATCTATATTCGTAGGCTTAATTGTCACCACACATTGTCTGTTGTATTATTATTCTTATTACTAATAAATAGTTAGTATTATTTACCATCACCCAAGTCTCTACAATAGTGTTCCATAAATTTTGTTTAATACTTAGTTATTGAAAGCCACGTTAAGAAAAGCTGAATTTGCTACAACACAGTTGCTTATTATTTTTAAATAGAATTAAGCTTTTGCATTTGAAGGCTTCTTTGTTATAGGGTCAGTAGCACCTCTTTTTTTATATAAAATTGATAACATTTTTAAAATAATTATGTTAATTATTATTAAAGGAAAGTATAAATTAATTTAAAGAACTATTGTATTTTACTATTATATATGTTATTACAGAATAATAGTTGCTGTTGCTTTTCATTCATCATTTGTTGCATTAAAAAGTACACAGACTTAAATCTTCTCATAATGTATTAATTACTATTTAATATATTTGAAACATGTTATTAGTTGTTATGAAAAAATATGTTATATTATATCATAATTAATTAAATTAATGATTAATTACTAAAATTAATTATTACGTTATATAATCAGTAACGTATTTATTTATATTATCATTATAAAACTTTTATGATTTTTCATTAAAATATTCTTCGATACTATTGCTTATATAGGCGTTACTATTAAACTATTTACATTATTTACATAATAATTGTAATGCATTAGGTAGATAATGTTTTCCATGTGCCTGAATATTACTTTATGTACAGAGAAGACTGTGCATTTAATGATTACTATTCGTGATATTAATAATTCTTGCATATGAATTTATATGAAAATTGCTGTTACAAAAAAATTTATGTTAATTTTTTAATTATTATTTAAACAAATACCTTTGTTAAATTCTTCGTCTAATTCAATTCCTTACTCAACGACATGGAATGTAAAGAAATATTTATATTGTTACGGATCGCGTTTACAATTCTTCTTTTATAAGTTCGATCGCTAGATTGCTGAAGATTTCCAATGAATACGTCGTTGAATTAGTTTAACCCTATTGAACGTTGACAACTCTATCCTCTGAACTTTGATGGAAGACACCCCTTTTTATACTAAATAGCCGATTGTTATTTTGCCCGAATATTCTGGAAAATACTGAATTACTCTTTTCCGGAAATTACGATTCGCTCTTGTTACTTAGCCGAATACAAAGTAAATATGAAAATCTCGTAACAATATAATCTCAAATTTTCAAGATGAATAATAAAACATACGTATATGTTCAATATTTTTTTAAGTGCTATCATCCTCGTGTAATTTTCATTTAAGTCACTGTGTATGAAAGTATGAATTATATTCTCTCGCTATTGATATGTCTAATCTATTGTTTGTAAATTATACAATTTATGAATGTTCTATATTCTTTGTACAAGATGGACCACGCAATTGTTTCAGGCCGCAACTTCGTCATTGATACATTTTCGAAAAAATGTTAACCCTTAATCCATTTGCATCCAAGCGCGGAATATTCCGCGAGCTAGGACTGTCGTCTATCACCGAGCGCGGAATATTCCGCGAGCTAGGACTGTCATCTATCACCGAGCACGGAATATTCCGCGAGCTGACTTTTTCCATTACCAGTTGCTGAATATTCTTCATATGCCACAGATCACGGTTGATCCCTTTTGTGAGCACCTCATCTACATCGGTTCATTATATTTTTAACAAGTTTTACTTCTGTCGTGAAAATCCTTTTAACTGCCATTATGAGTAGGTGCTGGTACGCGCGCGGTGATACGGGCTAGTCGTCAGGTGAACGTCGCTGATGCCTCAACTTAACCGTTTGAGTGCCACGGGTCATTATTGTTTCCCAATCGATATTTGCCAAGCGGCGCGATAGCGCTTGTCATATTCCGTGTCCAAAAATGCCGAGCGGCGCGATAGCGCTTCTCATATTCCGCGTTCACCAACCGAGCGCGCTGATTGTCAGCTTCGCAGCTCAGAGCGCTGGCACTTTTGGACACAAAATAGAAGAAGCGCGATCGCGCCGCTTGGCACTCAAACGGTTAAGTAGAGCCATGATGCAAATGGATTAACAAAAAAGTAAAGCGTACGAAACCACTATGTCTGTAGGCCCTTAGATGCTTTTTAAATGTAACAATGGAAAGTAGCAAAAGAACATTTTTTTGTCATTATACCCTAATATAATTTCTTACGTAAAATGAACAGAGAAATCGATCTGTGTAACGAGAAATATACATTTTACTTAAAAAATCATTTTTCTTTTTCCTTGGTCATTTTTTCATAAATACATCAAGAATGAAGTTACATTCTGGAACAATTGCGTGATCTACCTTGTATAAGTAGGCTAGTACGTTCGATCGTATTATATTATTTAACACATGAATGGCGACGCCTGGTCTATATGGGCCCCGACATAAGCTTCTATCATATCAATTTTTGCTTGTTTCCATATATCATGATATAAAGCTAATAATTATGAATATAATCACAAGATGAAATAAATAAATATGCCAATTTTTGCTATATGCTATTACGCTAATTATGCCAATTAAATATGTCAAACTTATTCTTCACCACGGATACGAAACGTTTACAATATCGCATGTGTATTACATATATATAGGGTGTCTTAGCAGAGGTAGTATAACCGGGAAAGGAGTGATTCTATTGTATATAAAAAAATAATTTGAAAATAAAACATTAAATTTTTTCATTCGAAGCTTCGTTATTGAGAAAATCGAGTTTGAATATTAACGAGTACACGTGCACTTAAATATGGCTTATTGTTAGATGGATAAAACATTAATACATAAATATTGGTGATACAATCGAGGAGTAGGTTATTCTACACGTAAGAACAAATTAAAAATAAAGAATAACATTTCTTCATTCAAAGCTTCGTTTTCGAGAAAATTGACTTTGAATATTTACCGAGTACGCGTACACTTAGCTATGGCTTATATGGATAGATCATCAATACATGAGTATCAGTGGTACAATCGAGGATGGGGTGATTCTACATAAAAGAACAATTCGAAAATAAAGAATAAAATTTTTTCATTCAAAGCTTCGTTTTCGAGAAAATCGACTGTGAATATTCACTGAGTACGAGTGCACTTAACTTTGGCTAAGGTGGATGGACCATCAGTATATCAGTGTATTCGGTGGATATTGAAAGTCGATTTTCTCGATGACGAAGCTTCGAATGAAAAAATTATATTCTTTATTTTCAATTTGTTTTTTCATATTGAATCACCCCCTCCTCGGTTGTACCACCGATACTCATGTATTGATGGTCAATTCATATAAGTCATAGTTCAGTGCACATATACTCGGTGAGTATTTAAAGTCGATTTTTTCGATAATAAAGCTTCGAATGTATAATTTTTATTACATTTCATATATAATATATTTATTGTCGTTCCTAGTAATAAATAACACTTTTCTCT